GGAAAACTTGTGCATGGTGGGCAGTAGTAGGTAACCTGACTACTGGTCTCCCGCCTAGGGCACACATACGATCGCTCCATCGTGGTGGACGGAGAAGAGGCATCACTCATGGTCTATGACATTTGGGACCAGGTAGGATGCAGGCTGAGATCCAGGGCAGGGTGGGAGGGGTGAGCTAGGGGTAGGGGCCTGCTGAGAGTGATAGCCTTGTAGCCTTGGCATGAGGACTATTGGGTAGATGTGTGTGTGTGCGTTCCCTAGGATGGGAGCCGCTGGCTACCAGGCCACTGCATGGCCATGGGAGATGCATACGTCATCGTGTACTCAGTGACAGATAAAGGCAGCTTCGAGAAGGCCTCAGAGCTGCGGGTCCAGCTGCGGCGGGCACGGCAGACAGACGATGTGCCCATCATCCTGGTGGGCAACAAGAGCGACCTGGTGCGCTCTCGTGAGGTCTCCTTGGATGGTGAGTAGGGAGCGGGTTGGAAAGGGAGGGAGATCCTGGCTGGGCTGTGGTCCACTCAGTCTTGACTCAGCTTGAGTCCCCAGGGATCATCAGTGGCTAAAAATGTTCAGGAAGAAAATTTGAGGTGGAGATCAGGAGAGCTGCTGCCCTCCCAGAGTACTCCCAAAGACCTGAGAGTGCTCGGGCAAAGACTAAATGCGCTAGGAGAGGTGGAGGCTGCTGGGTGCTGAGCTGGGGCACCTCAGGGCCCTCGGATCCTGTCCCCTTTGGCCATGGCCTGACAGACGAGGGGTGAGGAGAATGCAGGGAACCGGGCCAGGAGGTCAGAGCGTGGATTCCAGGCCCAGGCCAGTCTTGGTGTAGGCTTGCCCATGGGGAGAACTGTCTCCTCTTGGGCTTCTCCCCTGTGGCCCCCAGAACTGAGCCTCTCAGAGGAACCCAGCAATGACTTGGTGACATCCCCCCCACCCCACCGGTCATTCATTATGATGTAACATCAAACCACAAAACACTAAGCTGTCCAATGAAGTTCTCATTTACCTGTGTTGACTATCGCAGCACTTCTATTTACATATCAGACTGCAAATTATTTCAGTAAGTGAGTCTCCTTTTGTGGGCCTTTGTGAGCTCCTCAAACACGGCACACTCTGCCAGTTGGGTGACCCAGCCATGCCTGGGACCCTCCCTAGGCATGGGAGCATGCCTAGGAGGCATGGGAGCTGGGGTCTCTGTGTTTCTGGGGAGGACCCAGGGCTCCCCTTTCCCTTACCCACAGATTCCTGAGTGTTAGCTGCCATCGGGTGGTCGGGGTTTAAATGGGCTCCTCACCCACCCACCCTTTGTTTACTGGGGTGTGCTTGTTCCCACTCACACCAGAGGGCCGGGCCTGCGCTGTGGTCTTCGACTGCAAGTTCATTGAGACGTCAGCTGCGCTGCACCACAACGTCCAGGCACTGTTTGAAGGTGTCGTGCGCCAGATACGCCTGCGTCGGGACAGCAAAGAGGCCAACGCACGTCGGCAAGCTGGGCGGCGAGAGAGCCTTGGCAAGAAGGCGAAGCGCTTCCTGGGCCGCATTGTAGCACGCAATAGCCGCAAGATGGCCTTTCGTGCCAAGTCCAAGTCCTGCCACGACCTCTCAGTGCTCTAGGCCCCACAGGCACTCACTGCGTTGTGCAGAGAGATGGGCAGGTTGGTGGGCTGGCCCAGCCAATGCCCTAGGTGCCTCAGGGCTGGCGCAGACTCTGGGCATCCCCCACCTTGTGGTCACGGACAGACAGACAGTGCTGCCCAGGGAGGCGGCTCCCAGTGGCCATCAAGGGCTGGGCCCACAGAGATGCGTGTGCAGGCCCATGTGCGTCCCCAGCAGCAGCCTGAACCCAGCCCACGGGACAGGCCTGTGTGTGGGGAGAGGATTCCCTTTCTCCACACCCAGGTGTGCATGCCCTGGTGGGAGGCTGTTCAGTGCAGTGGCTATTTGTTTACATGCAGATTTTTGTAATAAAGACTATTTCCTGAGAGGTCAGGGCTGTCGACTCTGTTTCCTCCCGTCTGGGGGCTGCAGGATCAGGAAGTGTTCCCGAAGTTGAGGGACAGGGGCTCACTGCCCCACCCTAGTGCGTGGCCTTGACTCTCCTAATGTTTGGGCCCAGATATAGCCAGCTGCATCAGAGGGGGCAGATGTGGGTTGGGGCTTGGTTGGGGGTCCAGGCAGCAGGAGGAGACACAAACCCCTCCCAGCCTGCTATCCAGATTTTTCTCCTGCACAGGGGCCTGGCATTGCCCAGCTGATCAAGGATTCAATCACCCCACTGCATGTAAGGGAAACTGAGTCAGAAAGAACCCCGGGTATGGCCCCCAGGCTGGTGTCTCTGCCTTTCTCCCTCCTCAGGGGCTGGAAATCTGCTGAGGTGGAGTGGCTTTGGAAGAATTCTGAGACTTCCTGGCTGGGGAGGGAGGCGGCTGGTTTGTCAAGTGTGAGATGAGGAAGGCACACTCAGGTGGACTTGACTTTGGATGGCTCCCCACCTCCTGGCTGAGGCTGGGCTACTGAGCGGGCCTCACGGTTCTCTCCACTCTGGAGGCCAGGCCAGAGCATCCCATGCTCAGCATTGGCTAATGTGGTCTTGGTGGGAACTGGTCCCTGGAGCCCTCCCTGCCTGGAACAAGAGGCCTTACATTTGTGTGGGAATGTGTACGTGTTCGCTTACAGTTGGAAGTGTGCCTGTGTCCCCACCACCCACACCCAGGAAGGGGAGCCCTTCTGGGCACAGGTGCCTGCGAGGAGGTGACCTACATCGTTTCGGGAACAAGCGTCCCCCTTCAGCAATGGCAGATGCCGGAGGTCACCCAGGCTGAGTGGGGACTCGTATACAGGTCTGCCCACTTCCAGAGCCTGGAGGCAGCCTGGGACAAAGCTGGGGACAGTTTCTGAGAAGGTTCTGGACCAGGGTCCATACATTCCTCCAATAGTTCAATTTATTCATTCCACAGACCCCTAGGAGCCCTCAGGAGCTGGTTAGAACACTGATTACAGTTGTTCAACAGCAGGAGGTTCGAGGGCCACTCCTCAGTGTGTGCGACCTCTGTGACTAACCCACATGCCCCTCAGGGCAATGTTAACTGCTCAAAGCTGCTGCTTCTCCTCATTCCTGCCTCCCAACACACTTTGGGGCATGTGGAAGGCATGGTTTTCTCAGAGCAGGTGAAAGTCCTGGGGTCTGAAGAAGAATCCAGACCTTCCTGGCTCTGCCACTTGTTGGCCATATAACCCTGGGCAAACCACTCAACCTCTCTGTGCTCCAGTGTGTGACATGGGGACAATGTCCACTTCAGAATGGAGTGGGGTGGAATAGTGGAGGTATGTGCTTAGAGCAGTGCCAGGTACATAGTGGGAACGTGACACACCTGAGATTCTTTCACCACCCCCCACACCACTGCTCCAGGCTGGGGTGCCCCAGTGACCCTGAGGCAGGCACTCAGCTTGTGACAGACAAGGCCGGGGGCAGTGGAGGGTCCTGGCCCAGCCCCCAGCCTGAGGGAAGCGAGGCAGATATTCATGGGAAGGACTTGGGGGAGACCATGGGAAGCTCTGAGGACAAGGAGAGACTGGAGACCAGGGTCCCTGACCCTTCCTGCCCTCCCTTCTCGTCCCAGACTCCCAGGCTCCAGAAGCTTCTCCTGGCTCCACTTGGCTGCCTTCACTGGGGGAAGGGCACCTGGTCAGCCCTGCAATTCCCTCAAGGTCACCTGAGCTGGCTCAATCTTCTCTTTCCTTCTCAGAGGCATGAGACCATCCATTGCCCCAGCCCTGTCAGTGTCCAGGGGCTAGTGTGAGCACTTAGGGAGCCAGAGGGGATCTCACAGGTCACTGTCCCCCTCCCTACTGGTCCCACTGCTGGGGAGTCTAGACCCTCGAATACCCAGTTCACATTGCACACTGCTCAGCTATCCTTCATGTGTAACCTCTAGCTCCTTGTCTTAGTTCTGTAAGCCAGTCAGGAGCTGCCAGGGCCAGGCAAGGGCCAGGCCATTGCTGGGTCCCTGAGTCTTGCCCTGGAGGGGCTCTCAGTCTGATGAAAGAGACAGAGACAATCTGGTGTTCTCTCTGCTTTGACAGAGGTAGCACATGGCATGGCAGGGTTGGGGTATTCCCAGAGGAGAACCCTGAACAAGCCTGGGAGCACAGGGAAGGTTTCCTGGAGAAGGGAATATTTGAGCTGACTACTGAAGCCTGAGTGGGTGCTCACCAGACAGATGAAAGGGTGGGAAGGGCATTCCAGACAAAAGGGACAGAGTGGGCCAAGGTGGAGCTGCAGATACTGGCGCATGGGGGAGAAGTGGGACAGAGTCTGGAGCCACAGAGAAAGAAGTAGTTCCCAAGGCCAGAGGGCCAAGAAGTACCCACTGGGCTGTGTAGGGGTGGGAGAAGTGCCAGGCCAATGATCTCCCCACCTCCTGAGGCTAGCAGTCACGGATGCTGAGCAGCCCCCAGCCTTCTAAAGTCAATGAGTAACTTAGGGGGCTGGGCAGGGCCAGGTCTGCTGCTGTGGGCCCAGTGGTGTTTTCCACTCCTGAGCAAGCGTGGCCGGACCGCCTACCTGTTCAAGTGTCCTCCCTGCCCTACCGCACCCGACCCGGCCTCGCCAGAGCTCCCTGGAGAAGGAGGCCTCTCGCCTGGTGACTGGACCAAGGGAGCCAGCCTTAGGCACCAGTGGGTGAGGGCCTGGGAGCAGAGGGGTGGGCAGGGCTGAGGCTGGGATTGGTGGGGCCGGGGCGGGGGGGGGGAGAAACACTACGCTGCCCTCCCATCGTCCAGGGAAGAATTCCCAGGAGTGGTCGGAGTGGGTGTCCATGTTCTGTGTGCCCAGCTCCGTGCCAAGTGCTGGAAAATGCCCAGATGAGGGCAGGGCTCCTGCCGAGGGGCCTCCGTGTCTGAAGGATGGCAGTGGGAGGTAGAACAGTCCTGGAGATCCTGACCTACGAGTTCTCTGTTCCAGGAGGACTTCTCCTGTGGTCAAGTTCTCTGTGACCTTGGTCAGGCCCTGCCCTTCAGGCCTTGCCTGCAACATGAGGTGACTGCAGGAAGTGACCCTCAGAGTCGTCAGGGTCTTTCCAGCTTCAAACTTCTGTGCTTTTCTGGGCTGGAAATCACCACTTTGGGATCGACAAGTTGGGGAGTCTGGGTGGGGAGGAGACAGAGCTCTGGAGGTGAAATTCCGGTGGAGACTCTTGTGGGGGCAAGAATGGAGAGGCAGCAGGGTGGCTAGGCCTGGGGGCCGTGGTGGGCCTGGCCGAGGAGCTGGATGCTACCCTGCAGGCGATGGGGAGCCACAGGCCCCATTCAAAGGGAAGAGGAGGCCAGTTCGTTGCGAGGTCCCTCTGGCTATGTTATGCAGCGGGCTGAGGCAGGGGACAAGGGTGGGAGTGGGCGGGGTGCAGTGTCCAAGTGGGTGGAATGGGAGGGGCAGCTCTGAGGGTTGCTGGGGCAGCATAGAAGGACAGGGGGCAGGAAGAGGCCTGGCTGACCAGGTAGTGACCAGGTAGGGGGAGTCCAGCTAAAGAAGGAGGGACAGTTGTACCCCCTGGGGCTTGGGGAAGCTACGGCCTAGGGCTGAGTGAGGATGAGGGGAGGAATACTTTTTAGGTTGAGGGTAATGGAAGGGACCCCTGCCCACCAACCTGGGCTGGATCCTCACTGCCATGTCCCTCAGGCCCGTCCTGATCATGGTCCCTGCCTGGCTGTGGCTGCTTTGCCTCTCCGTCCCACAGGTGAGCTGGGCCCTGCTTCTCTCCTTCAGATCCTGGCCTTGAGGGTTGGCACCCTCGCCTCCCACTCCACCTGGACCAGTTGCACTGACCATGGATAGTAGTTGTGGGGGTGGGGTCAGAGCTGGCTGGCCTGTCATGGGATCAGGAGGTCAAAGGCCAAAGGGTGGATGGACTAAGGTATGGCCAGTCCCAAGGAAGGGGCAGAAATTCTCCTTCCCTCTCAGGTCCCTGGCACCCATGGCAGGAAGATAGAGCCTGGGGACAGGGTGAGAATCCTCCCACAGACTCTCCCCGAGGCCCAGCCTGCAGAGCTGTATGTGGAAGTACCAGAAAACTATGGTGGAAACTTCCCTTTGTACCTGACCAAGGTGAGCCTGAGCCCTGGGTAGGCTGCCATCCCCACAAGTCCTGGTTTTGTTACCTCTAGCATCCCTTTCTCTTGCTCTGGGTCACTTTTAAACCCTGCTCTCCGGAGGTGGTATAGTGTGAATGACTAACAAGATTTTAATCTCAGAAGAAAGTAGAGCTTTAAGTTAAAGAAGGAAGTATTGGTGGTGGGGTTTCAAGCTTTAAAAAGAAGGGCAGGGAGTATTGGGGAGCATCAAGTACAGGGAAAAGATCTCTGACCTTGAATCTCAGTTCTACTACTTCCTGATTGTGTGACCTCAAGCAAGTGCTAGTCCTCTCTGAACCTCAATTTCCCCACTTCTAAAATGGGGCCATTGGGTGGAGGGGACATCCCCCAGGCCTGGCCCCTACTCCCTTCACCTCTGTTCTTCCCTACCAGCTGCCACTGCCCCGTGAGAAGGCTGAAGCCCAGATTGTACTGTCAGAAAACTCAGACATGGCAGCTGAGGGCCCCTTTGCTGTCGATCTGGAGTCTGGCTTCCTGCTGGTGACCAGGGCCCTGGACCGAGAGGAACAGGCAGAATACCGGCTACAGGTACGGCTGGGCCAGGTGTAGGAGAAAGCAGGGAAGGCAGGGCCAGGCACTGACTACCCTTCCCTGCCAGGTCACCCTGGAGACTGAGGATGCACGTGTCTTGTGGGGCCCGCAGCCTGTGCTTGTGCATGTGAAGGATGAGAATGACCAGGTGCCCCATTTTTCCCAGGCCATCTACAGAGCTCGGCTGAGCCAGGGCACCAGGCCTGGTGAGTGCCCAGGGCAGCCAGCTCACAGCAAGGTCAGGTGGGCACTGATGGGAAAGTAGAGAGTGCAGAGGTGGCCAGAGTCCGCACAGGGACAGGGCAGCCAGGTCCTGGGATTTCTATCCCATCCTGCACCCCCTTACACCAGTGAGGCTGTTCAGGTGAGTCCCATCCACTCTTGGCCTCAGTTTGCTCATCTGTGAAGTGGAGTGAAAAGCCATGGCTCACCTCCAGAGTCCCAATATGATGATAATATGGAAGGAAGGACTAGGGAGAGATAGGGGAGGCATGGGAGACTCTCCCCACCCCTTTCACCCCTAATGGTATACTCTCTCCACACATACCAGGCATCCCCTTCCTCTTCCTTGAGGCTTCAGATGGAGATGAGCCAGGCGCAGCCAACTCGGATCTTCGATTCCACATCCTGAACCAGGCCCCAGCCCAGCCATCCCCAGACATGTTCCAGCTGGATCCTCGGCTGGGGGCTCTGGCCCTCAGCCCCGAGGGTGAGCCTGAGCTGGGTGTGATATTGAGCGAGGGTCAGGGAAAGCTGGGGAAAGTGGTGTCTGAGATGTAGGATGGGTTGGAGCTTGAGAGATAAAGGAGGAGGAAAGAGTATTCTAGGTGGCGAGAGCAAGCAAGGAAAAAGGCCGTGCTTGAACCATGCATGGAGGCAGGACCACGTGTGGAGGCTTCAGATGGGGATGAGCCAGGTGCCGCCAACATCCCCATCTGAAGGTTAAGAAATGGTGTGAATGGAGGGCCTCAGCTCTGCACTCTGGAGACCTGGGCCTAAGGGACAAGGATAGGAGAGACCTGAGGGGTTATAGCCTAGGATGTTGCTGGGAGACCTTTGGAATGATGGCAAGAGAGACCTGGACCTGAGAGTTCAGAGGCATGGGCTGGGGATGGAAAGAAAAGCCAGTCATACACCCAGCCAGCCAGCCACTCATCTTCTCACCTACCACCCAACAACATATGCAGTCCATCTATCTAAACATCCATCCAAACTAACTCAGCCAAACACTCTAATCCTGTCCATCTTACCCCACACAAACCCTCATCCATTCACCTAGTCAACTATCCATTCATTCAACGGTCATCTACCTATCCACCCATGTACCTCTCCCCTCATCCTGGTCATTCACTCATCTAGTCCATCAATCATTCATTGCGTGAATAGGTATGGAAGTGAATTTGAAAACTTCCAAGTCCTGTTTGGATGCTCACAATGGTGCTAAAAGTCCCTCTCATCCCTTGGCCAAGGGAGTATCCTGAACACCTGCCATATGCTTGGCGTTTGGTATTTGGTAACTTGCTGAGAAGGATGACCTGGCCCCCTGCTCTCTGGCCCCCTGCTCAGCTGACCACCCTGCCCCTTCTAGGAAGCACCAGACTAGACCAGGCCCTGGAAGGGCCCTACCAGCTGTTGGTACAGGTCAAGGACATGGGTGACCAGGCCTCAGGCCACCAGGCCACAGCCACCATAGATGTCTCCATAGTAGAGAGCACCTGGATGCCCCTAGATCCTGTCCACCTGGCAGAGAATCTCCAAGTTCTGTACCCACACCACATTGCCCAGGTGAGTGAGTGGCTGTCAGTAGCTGAGGTAGCCCTGCAGATGGTACAGCTGGGACTGAGTCTCGTGGAGATTTAGGGGGTGGGTCTGGGGCCTAGATTGACCCCTGCTCCTCCCCTACCTATGCTCCTCCCTCTACTGTCTCCCTTAATTCCCATCATGTAGTGGAGCGTTCAAGGCCCTGGGACCAGGCCCACAGCCCCTCACCTGCTCTCCTCTGGCAGGCACAGCTCTGTGCTCTGACCTCCTGAGCTTGCCCCAGGCTTCCTCAGGGAGAACAGCTGCCATCTCCCTGCTGCCATGGGGATTGTCACCCAGGCCAGGAATGTCTCAGGCTCCCTCGAGGAATGCCCTGGGGTCAGGCCCAGCCTGAGAGGGCAGAGAATTAAAAAACCTGGTCATTCAGGCACTTTGGGCAGGGTCCAGGCTTGGACCAGGGCCAGGTCACCATGGAGTGGCCACAACCGTAAGTGCCCCAAGCAGAAGGACTCTACCTGGACTCCAAGGAGGACAGAAATGTGTGTGGGGACACACAGCAGTCGGGGCCCAGGCTCCCCATCCAGGAACAGTAGGAGCATAAAGGCTGACATGTGTTGTCTCTGCCCCTCATCCTGGGATGCCCTCATCTGTGGCCCTCACCCAGGTACACTGGAGTGGGGGGGATGTACATTATCATCTGGAGAGCCAGCCTCCTGGACTCTTTGATGTGGACGCAGAGGGGAAACTCTATGTTACCAGCGAGCTGGACCGAGAAGCCCAGGCTGAGGTGAGGTGAGGGGGAAGCCAGGACAGCAGGCTGAGGGCTGCTTGGTCACTGCCCGTTTCGCTTCTGGGGGTGTCACATCCCCACAGGCACTGAGGCAGTGGAAGAGTGCCCAGAAGAGCTGGCGCTGACCACCAGAAGGGAGCCCAGACCCAGGCCAGGCTGGAGCTGCCCTTGGCCTTCGTCTGAAGCCCCCCACTGCCCACTACAGTACCTGCTCCAGGTGCGGGCTCAGAATATCCATGGCGAGGACTACACAGAACCGCTGGAGCTGCATGTGGTGGTGATGGATGAGAACGACAATGCGCCCGTCTGCTCCCCACGTGGCCCCACAATCAGCATCCCTGAGCTCAGCCCCCTAGGTGGGCTATGGGCCTTGTCAGGGGATGGGGGAGGAGTGAAGTCCCTATGAACCATTCCACCTTGCTCTTCTCTGGGATGGGGCTAGACTCAGGCACCTATATCAATGTCCCCCCCAACACACACACACACACGCACACGCACACGCACACGCACACACACACGCGTGCGAGCTCAGGTTTAGTCCAGCACAAAAGAGGAGTGAGTGAAGTGAGGCCTCCAGGCTGGGCTGTGGTCCCACCCAGGTTGTTGCTGTTTTTGCAGGCACGAATGTGACTAGGCTGTTGGCAGAGGACACGGATGCTCCTGGTTCCCCCAATTCCCACATTGTATATCAGCTGCTGAGCCCTGAGCCTGAGGAGGGGGCAGAGAAGAGAGCCTTCGAGCTGGATTCGACCTTGGGCAGTGTCACACTGGGGGCTGTCCCCCTCCAAGCTGGCCAGAACATCCTGCTTCAGGTGCTTGCCATTGACCTAGGAGGAGCAGAGGGCGGTAAGTGCCCTGATGGTGACCCTGATGATGACCCGGGCTCCCCACCCCCTCTCTTCCTATCCTGGCCTCCCCAATATGCCCTTCCCTGCCTCAGGCCTCAGCAGCACATGTGAGGTCACTGTCACGATCACAGACATCAATGACCATGCCCCGGAGTTCACCAGTTCCCAGGTAAGCAGGAGCAGGGAGGAGACCTTGGGAAGACACTGATGGGGGCTCATAGTCCCTCCCCATCTCTCCAGATTGAGCCCGTATGCCTCCCTGAGGACACAGAGCCCGGGACTCTGGTGGCCACACTCATGGCCACTGATGCTGATCTTGAGCCTGCCTTCCGCCTCATGGACTTTGCCATTGAGGCGGGGGATGCCGAGGGGACCTTTGGCCTGGATTGGGAGCCAGACTCCAATCATGTCCAACTGCGACTCCTCAAGGTAAGAGGCTGGGGGTGGGGAAGGGGCACACACATGCATACATGCTTGCACAAGGGTGCCACACCCCAGCCCACACAGTGACCCAGGACCCACTGGTTCCAGAATCTCAGCTATGAGGCGGCTCCAAGTTACAAGTTGTTGGTGGTGGTGCAGAGCGTGGCAGAACTGGTGGGGCCAGGCTCAGGCCCTGGAGCCACAGCCACCGTGACTGTGCTGGTGGAGAGGGTGGTGCCACCCCCCAAGTTGGACCAGGAAAGCTACGAGGCCAGCATCCCAGTCGGTGCCCCAGCTGGCTCCCTCCTGCTGATCATCCAGCCCTTAGACCCCATGAGCAATCCCCTCAGGTAAGCCAGAAGCCCAGTCCCTTATCTGGGCTGGACCTCCCCTGCCCCCAGGGATGACCCCAGGGCCTTAGATGGGACTCATATTATCTGTGGCCTGGAATATTCCTCAAACGGTGGCTCATGGCAAGGTTGTGACTCCAAGGGGGATCAGGGCTGAATGAGCTGGACAGGGCACACAGAGGGGTGTTTAGACCCCATGAGAGCTCAGATGATGTCTTTCCATGCTGTCCTGGACTGGGCCCTCCTCCAACCCCCTCCCAGAGTAGCACAGACAAGGCTGTTCCCAGACTCTGGCGCCATCCTGGCCCATTTGTGGTGACCTGGGACTAGTGGAGTTAAGTCAGGCCCCCGAGGCTCTGATGGTCCCTCCTCCACCCACAGTATCAGTGGTTCAAGCCCTGCCCCTTGAAAAGTCCCTGAAACTGGGGAGAGAGACTAGGCACCCTGGGCACTGCTGCTGCCCTCAAGTCATAGAAAGAATGTGGAACTTGACCAGGTCACATGGCCCTGGAGGTCTCTGGGCAAGACCCCTCAATGCCTCGCTGCCCCCCATCTTCTCTGGGCCTCAGGTTCTCCCTGGTCAATGACTCAGAGGGCTGGCTCTGCATCGAGGAGGTCTCCGGGGAGGTGCACACGGCCCGGCCCCTGCAGGGCACCCGGCCTGGGGACATGTACACAGTGCTTGTGGAGGCCCAGTATGCAGGTATGGCCAGGCAGCCATGGGGGCCTCTGGGAGGGAGAGCAAGCCTCAGACAGACAGAGGGGTGGGCAGGACCGAGCTTCCTCCTGGGAGCCTTGCTGGCATCCACTCTGCCCCAGGCAGGAGGGAGGGACAAGGGCTGAGTCCAATGTCCCTCTCTGAGAATGCCTGGCCTCTGCCTCCCATCTCAGACCGCCCTCCTCACTAGACATTTGCGATTCCCCAACCCTGCTTCTTAGCCGCAGAGGGCCTCTCAGGACATCTGCCTCAAACACAGGCTGGAAGCAGGGGCTGGGCATGTGGAAGGAGGGCCAGGGGCTGTATCTGGAGCAGGCCTGCCAGGAGGTGAGCCTGAGCAGGACACTGAGGCCAGGTGTGGAGGACTTTGAATGCAACTTTGATGGGACGAAGAGCTGGCCCAGGGGTGGGTATGTCAAGGAGGACGGTTTCAGCTCTAAGCTGGGCTGCCCCGTGGTGCAGGGCAGACCCAGCAGGGGTGAGCTCCTCTACAGTCAGGGCATCTCCACCTTGTTGGGCCCTGGCACCAGTGGTGGGATTGGTGTGTGTGTGTTGAGGGGGGGGCAGTGAAGGCAAGCTTGGCATCCAGAAAGGCACAGAAGGGTCTGAAAGCTGTTTGGATAGTGAAGGGGGTGAAGTGCACTGTAAGGAAGAGACTAGCATGGACATGATGATGAGGATGGAGAGGAAGGGTAGAATGGAGAGGGAGTGGCAGGGGAATCAGCAGAATGAGACTGATGGGCTGTGGGGAAAGGGAACACCCCAGGGTCCCCCCACCCTCACAAGAGCCCGCACAAGGGCCAAGGCGAGCTCAGTAATGCCTCCTCCACAGATGAGCCGACACTGAGCACCTCTGCGACTCTTGTGATCCACTTCCTGAAGGCCCCTTCTGCCCCGGCCCCAACTCTGGTCCCTGTGCCCTCCCGACACCTCTGCACACCCCGCCAGGACCATGGTGTGGTTGTCAGTGGACCCAGCGAAGACCCTGACCTGGCTGGTGGGCACGGTCCCTACAGCTTTGCCCTTGGTCCCAACCCCACAGTGCAGCGAGATTGGCGCCTCCAGGCTCTCAATGGTGTGTCGTGGGGGAGGGGGAGAGGCTGTGGCCAAGGCAGGGAGGGGGTGGCACTTGGAAGTGAGATGCCTTTCCACCATGGGGTGGGGGTGGGGATGGGCCTAGGGGGCCCTGTCCCACTAGGGGGACCCCTGTCCAGGCTGTGACTCTGATCACTGCTTACGGTCCCAACAGGTTCCCACGCCTATCTCACCCTGGCCCTGCATTGGGTGGAGCCACGTGAACACGTAGTCCCTGTAGTTGTCAGCCACAATGCCCAGATGTGGCAGCTCCTGGTCCGAGGTGAGGCCAGGCTCAGGTGAAGCCAAGGTTAGGGGCCTGTAGTTCTTGAGGGAACCACTGAGATGCAGGGGGAGGGGCTGGGTACACATGCATGCAGGCTTACATGTACAGCATACACCTGTGCACATCTGCATATTTGTGACCAGGCACACAGACCCGTGTGCAGGCAGGCACGGGCACAGAGGAGCATGCATTCACACATACATGAATACATATGCGTGCACAAAAACACACATACCAGCCAGCTGGGGCGGGCTGGGGACTCTGAGCAGCTGGGGAGCCTCCCTCACTGCCCTTACCTTCCTCCCTTGCCTGCCCCCAGTGATTGTGTGTCGCTGCAACATGGAGGGGCAGTGCATGCGCAAGGTGGGCCGCATGAAGGGCATGCCCACGAAGCTGTCAGCGGTGGGCATCCTCGTGGGCACCCTGATAGCAATAGGTAATGGAGGCTGGGCTCCTGCATGGGGGAGGGTGATGGATGGTCGGAGCCACAGCCTCTATAAACAGTGCCCCTGTCCCATGGTGCCCCCCAGGGCTGGAGAAGGAACCCTCCAACTCTCCTAGTCATTATGCTCCTGCCTCCTGTCATCATCATCATTATCATCATCACTGATAACAGCGTTTACTGTTATAGTATTACACATTGACTGTGTGACAGGCCCGATGCCAACCATAGGATTATCGCATTGAATCCTCCCCACAACCCTGTGAGGTTGATCCTGGCATCTCCCTATTTTCCACATGAGGTCACTGACCCTCAGAGAGGTTAAGTGACTTGTCCAAGGTTACACAGCCAGAGTATGGCAGAGCCCAGGTCTTTCCAGCCTAATTCCTTCAGTCCAAGCCTCCCTCTCTATCCCCTTCCTTTATTTAGCCCCCTAAATTTTTCCCTGGCTGATTTTCTTTGCTGGTTTTAGCACAATAGTACAATGTGCCTTTCTCTCTGAGGTCCGTGGGAACAACTCACGGGACTCCCAGATGGCCCCCACCCCCAAACTGTTCCTCAGAGAAGGGGACCTTGGAGGCTGGGGTGTTCTGGAGTAGCCTCAGAGTGGCAGGCACCTGTTGAGGGCTGAGCAGACCAAGAAGTCAGGCTTCTCCAGGCATCAGGACCACAGAGTCATACCCAGCCCAGCTTCAGGGATGCTGTCTAGGAAACTTTGCTTTCTTATTAAACCAATACCAAGGAGTCCCTAGTGATGGACAAGTCGCATGGGCCCTTCTGAGGGCTGATCCATCCCTCTCGGGCCTCTCAGGCATCTTCCTCATCCTCATCTTCACCCACTTGACCCTGGCAAGGAAGAAGGACCTAGATCAGCCAGTGGACAGCGTGCCCCTGAAGGCAGCAGTTTGAATGGTCCAGGCAGCCCCAGCTGGGAGCTTGGCCTCTGGCTCCATCTGAATCCAGTGGGAGAGGGCCCAGTACTACAGATCCTCAGGGGCCAGGACAGAGTAGAAGCCCCTTCACCTGCCCTGGGGTGGAGGCAACATCACCAGGCATGTCTGCAGAGCATGAACACTGACTTTATGGGAATGCTTCAAATGGTGGCATGTTGGTCCAATAATAAAGCCTCAGAGAGCTGGGCATGGGCTATAAGGGACTGCTGTGCTCATGTCCAAGTGTCGTGTGTGTGTGTGTATTATCTGTATCCACCTACGTCTTCATTCCTTCCCCATCTCCTGCTGCACAGAAAGGATCTGGGGGCTTGAGGGACAAGTATAGGGTCCCCTGTGGGAAAGGACATGGGGGCATCATATGGGCTCTTGGTGAGAACTTGAGGTTGGAGCAAGGTGGGTCATATCCATGGGCATTCGAGACCACTGGCTGCAGACTCTGGAAGGGTCAACTCTGTCTAGGTGATGGCTGAGGAGGATGTCCTTAACAGTGTCATTTCTGTGTTTTCCTGGTCATCACATTTGCTATGGGAGGGCACTATGTCCTGTGCTCATGTGTGAGCACACTCATGTCTCTGTGCATAAGTCACCTGCACACGGGGGTTGGCAGGGGTCCCACAGACTCAAGAGGGGTCTGAGCAGTAATTGTGAGGGCCCCATGGAGCTGGAACAGGAGAGGTAAGGCTGGGAATGGATCCCCCTGCCCCAGTGCAGGTCCCAAGGCAACTTTGGGTTTCACACACTGGCTGGTGAGTGCATGGGGGTGGTCTGCAGAAAGTCAGAGAAGGGGAATCACTCAGATGGACAGCATCAGGGTGGGACAGGAACCCCTGTGGCTCACCCTGGAGCTGCCTCTGTCCCAGATGAACCCCTTCCCTTGGCCCAAGTTTAAGCCATGGCCCTGGTGTCCTGCTGAGCCCTGACCACACCACCAGCCTGACGTCCAATCCCTGACCCCAGATACTGGCTGATCCCCCATGCCCCCATCCCAACAGTCCCTAGGGAGCCAGGGTGAAACTTGCTGTCCCAGGCACCCTGATGGTAAATCACGGGGAAGGGAGAAAAACAACCTCTCTGGGGCCCAGGCCCTATTTTTAGGAGATAATCTCTCCACTCCTGGCAGATTCTATGGTATGGGGGCCAAGCCCAGCCAAGAGAGACAAGGTGGCCATCCTGGTTGGCCTGAGGAGACTGGGAGACTCAGCCAGAATCCCCAGCCTAAGAATGGACTCTGAGGCTGATCCCAGCCATCCTGGGCACAGGCTTCCCCTCTGGAGGCTCTGTGACTACTGTGGTTCAAGCAGGGCTTCCTGCTCCTCTCCCAGGATCCTCTGCTCTACCTGCACCGACTCAGAAGTGTTCATGGCGCAAAGCTCTTTGAAGGCAACATCTCATCTAATCTTCTCATCAATCTGCGAGGGTGGAATTATTGGCCTCATTTTCCAGTGGAGGATCTTGAAGGTCAGGGAGATTAAGGGCTGTAGCTGGAAGTCTTGGAAGCAGGGCACAAGGTGGGACTGTCTGGCCGAGGTTTGTGTTGTCTCTCCAGAAGTGTCCACAGCCTCCAGCTGGTCTCTGCTCCCATGAGATCCCCTAGAGGGCCTTAGAGATCACCCAGGCCAGCTCCTTCTTGTGAAGCTGGGAAAGTGAATTGCAAAGAGGTGGAGGGAACTTCCCAAGTTCATTCAGCCAGCAGGAAGCAGCACCTGAGCTGGAACGCTGGAATCACCCTGCTCTCTGGGTCCTTTTTCTGGATGGTAGATCTTGTTCTAGATAGGTAGATAGGTGGGTGGGTGGATGAGTGAATGGATGGGCGGGTTGGTAGATGGTGGATGGGAGATGGGTGGACGGGTGGGTGGATAAGTGGATGGATATATGGGTTGGTGAGCAAGTGAGTGGGGCATGGAAAGGAAAGGGTGGACGACAGGATACCAGGACAAATTAAGGCATCTGCCCCAGTTTGAGGGCTTCTTTCTTGGGCCTCCAGGCCCCAGGCCACTTTATGATTGTGTCAGTGCTAGGGCCAACCACAGGAAGTCCACAGTCCCCAGGGACACAGGCTCAGTTTGCCTGAGCATCTGTGGACATAAGCCTCTCCTGTGATCCTCAGCCCGTTCTGTAGAGGAAAGTGAGGGTCAGAGAGGGGGTGTGGCTTCTCCTGGGTCACAGAGGGAGAGAAACATGAAGCTGGCCCTTCTGTGGGTCAGTGTGTGCTTGTGGAAATTCACACTAGTGAGACAGGCCTCACTTCGCAGGCAGGGCCTAGACCCTGCTAGGGCAAGGCGGGGATAACTGGCCGCTCGGTGTGGATAGAAGACCATGTAACCCATGCTCTTCCTCATCCTTGCTGTGTGTTCCCAGATGAGTCATTTCACCTCTCTGAGCCTCAGTTTACTTGTTGATAACATGGGTGTTGTTGAGGACTACATGAATCTGCAAAACGCATTTAGCACAGTTCCGGGCACACAGCAAGAGCTCAATAAACGTGGCTTTTCCCGGCCTATGGAGTGTGGGGGGACTTACCACAGATGCCTACAGCCACATACTCTCCCACACTCCCCAGGGGCCCCATGAGGCCCACGCTTTTGGGAGGGAGCCCCAACTCCAGCCCCCACATGGCCCTGCTGGGTGACCCTGGGCAAGACAGCCCTCCAGCCTTGGCTCCCTGCCAGCTCCAAGGTTCTCTCTGGGTGCTGCTGTGGGGTCTCACAGGGTTCAGACCAGTCTGGAGCTGGAGGGAGTCATGGGGTCTGCCCTGGTGGGGAGCTCATGCTCCCCCTCTCCCAGGCCCCTTCCAGAGGCACAGGGCCAGATCAAAGGGACCCAGCACTGAGGATCGGGAGGCGGGCTTGGAAAGAATGTAAACATGAGGATATTTTTAAACTTTTTCCAGCCCTGGCGATTAGGGCTCTTGAAGCAAGAGGCCCAGAGGTCAGTCCGGCCCTCACTCACAAAGAGAGAAACAGTCTTGGGACCTCGGAGACCCCCAAGCCACCCCTACCCACCCACACTCCCTGATACCCATCCCAGGACTCTTGCTCCAGCCTCAGGGCAGAGTTTCTTCCTCTGATCTCGCCTCCAGACGTCCTGCAGCTGCGGGATGGCATGTTTCTAATGAGAGGGCCTCAGAGATGGCGGTGGGGGGGACCCAAAAAATTGCAGGGGTTGTGGGGGCCTTCCTGGAGGGCTAGTGTTGGGAGACTGAGCTTGGAGACCCCTTGGCAGCCCTGTCACTCCATCAGGCATGTATGTGTGTGCACACGTGTGTGTCTGTGGGTGTGTAAGTGTATGCTAAAGTCTGGTCTGCATGGTGCCTATGTCACGTGTAAGTGTGCCAGGAGCTCACCTCAGCCCCTCCTTTCCTCCCCTTTCCTAGCATTCCTGGCCCCCTTCCCCGGGACTCCTTGGGGTGGTGGGGGACGTGGGAGGGGACAGGAGGTAGGCTTGAGGGTCAAAGGGAAGAGAATGGGGAAGATGAGGGTGCTGGGAGCGGAGGAGTGAGGGGGCTGGGGGCGGGGCCTGGGTCCGGGGTGAGCCATGCAGTAGTCAGTCTTCGAGAGCTGCAGGGGCCGCTGATGTGGGGACTGGGGGACTCGGCTCCCTCGATTACCCCCAGGTGTCACAGTGACTCAGGAACTTGGACACAAGGCTCTCTAGAGCTCCTTGCTATGGATGTCACCGTGACGCTCACTTTGGGTTCCATGACAACAGCCTCTTCCCTCACAGTGATGTGGCCACCCTCGCACACTCATGCGACACAGTGGAGCACACCCACAGGAGTGTCATGAGGAGACTTACAGAGGGAACTCAGCCACAACATGCCCCCCCAGGGACTCCCACAACCTCACCTTATCCACATCCCTGCTGACCAGGAAGTCAGAGGGTCAGAGTTCACAGGGGCATTCAGGAGCCAGGCCGGCTGTGGTTACCAGGACAACGAGGGGCCCTCACCCTAGGAGAGGCCTTGCTGGCTGTTTCCCATGCTTCAGGGGGCTGCTGTGCTACCTTGCCTTGCTTATGGACCCAGAGAGAGACAGTGTCCAGCTCTAGGTCATACAGCTCCTCAGTGGAGGGCAGGGCTCAGGCCCCAGGCCAGGATCGACAAGGTGGTGTGCTCCCCATCAGATCCCCTCCTCGGAGGCAGCAGGCGCAGAGGATGAGACTTGGTGTTTTATCATAAGGGGTTGTGGGACTTCAGGCCCGGGACAATGAGGGAGGTGGATGGGGCTAGAACTGGTGGGGAGGGGGACCTGGAGACTTGTCCTCAATCTGAGGGCCGGAGCTGCCTGCCTGAAGCTGTTGCTGCGTGTGCCCACTCACCGGGGCTGTTGCTATTCTTACCCACCTGGCAGTGGCGGCAGGGTCACAGATAGTGGCTGGGTGGGAGCAAGTCATGAGCACCAGCCCCTTATCTGACACATTCCCTGGAAACTTGGCAGGGGCTGCCAGGCTCTGGGGGCCTGGGCAGGGGGGCAGTGAGGTGGTCACAGGGACAGGGTGGGAGGATGGGCTCACCCAGGACAAGGCCCTGAGCCAGCTGCCTCTCCTACAGCCAGGCAACGTTGCATCACAACTAGGGGTTTCCAGGGGGATTTCTTCCCATGTGGTCCTCAAGACCCTCAAGTCATCCTCAGCTTCGTACTCAGTCCAACCCAGAATGCACCACCTCTGAGCTTTCAAGACCCCAGAAGACAATGTGTTGGTTTCCCCAGTGAGGCCATAGGCAGGGGCTGCCTCTGTGGGGACAGCACCGTACTGTGAGCCACAGAGGCCCAGGCTGCCCATGTCCTGCCCACTTCTAGGCTGTGTGACCTTGGGCAAGTCACTTCCCCTCTCTGAGCTTCAGTTTCCTCATCCCTTTCCTGAGCTGTTGTAGGGATAACAAAGTCCAACAGTTGGGAAGGTGGGCTAAGGGCTGTAAGTTTGTGTGTGTGTGTGCATATGAGTGTGTGCGGGGCCAGGAAGGAGAGAGGGAGGCACATGGGTCCCCCAACTTGGAAACTCCCGCCCCATGGATTTTCCATTGGCACGTCGGCACTCTCTCCCCCAAAATAGGCCCTATGAGCCGTGTTCGACAGAGCCCAGACTGAGGGGACTTTTTTTAGCTGCCCTTTGATTGTCAGCTCTCAAACGGCCGCTATTTCAAGCTCCAGCGCCTTGAGAAGTAGGGCCAAGTGGGGGCCGGGATCAGCGCAGAGGGTCTGGCTGGCTCCCTGAA